ATTCATAATCTGTAAGACTACCTGCTAGGAGGCCGGGCGCGCAGTGGCTCACGCCTGTAGTCCCAGCATTTTAGGAGGCCTAGCAGGGCGGATCACCTGAAGTCAGGAGTTTGAGACCAGCCTGACCAACACGGTGAAACCCCGTCTCTACTAAAAATACGAAAATTTGCCGGGCGTCTTGATGTACGCCTGTAATCCCAGATGCTCGGGAGGCTGAGGCAGGAGAATCACTTGAATGCGGGGAGAGGAGGTTGCAGTGAGTCCAGATCACACCACTGCACTCCAGCCTGGGCGACAAGAGCGAAACTCCATCAAAAACAAAACAAAACAGAACAAAAAAACGGCCCGGTAGGCCACATTTCCCTCATTCTCTCTACCTTTTCCTCTCTGACAGCTTGCCTCCTATGTCACCGAGAACACAGCAGCAGTGAGAAGGGAACGTCCACGTGCGCCCATCTAGTCTACCTTCCTGTCTCCAGCGCTGCCCATATACTGGGCATTGATGAACTGCGCCTGTGCCCATCCAACCCCAACCCCTCTGCCTGGGCACTTCCAGCCCCTCTACTACTCACCAGCATCACTCCAGCAACCTCCTTCTTTCTCCTGAACATCAGCTTCCCTCTTTACTGATTCATTTCTATCAACCTACACGCATGCTGAAATATTTTTCGTCTTAAAAGAACCCTCTTTTGACCCGACATTCCTCTAAAGCTCCCCATCTCTCTTCTTACTTTTGCAGCATAAAATCTCAGATGTGGCTGGCCATGGTGACTTGCACCTGTAATCCCAGCACTGTGGGAGGCCAAGGGAAGAGGATCACTTGAGCCCAGGAGTTTGAGACCAGCCTGGGCAACATAGTGAGACCCTGTCTCTACAAAAAAATACAAAAGTCAGCTGGGCATGGTGGTGCGCCTAACTCTTAGTGCATGGCAGTGCTCCTGTTGGTCCCAGCCACTGGGAAGGCTGAGGCAAGGGATCACTTAAGCCCAGGAGTTTGAGGCTGTAGTGAATTATGATCACACCACTGCACTCCAGCCTGGGTGACAGAGTAAGACCCTGTCTCAAAAAAAAAAAAAAGAAAAGA